TTTTACTGCAAAATTAAAGAACTGCTGGTAGGATTTATATCAGTGAAAAGTTACCTGCAATAACTACAGCTCATCAAAACGAGTATAATTATCCTACAAACAGAGCAACGTTAATTTAAAGCAGTTTGTACCAGCCACTTCAGTCCCCTAATTATGTTTAAGCTATCCAAGTTGTACAGAAAGAGAAGGAGAATGCCGTAAAACGTTAATCAAGTGATGCTATTGCATATTATCAAATATTCGCTGCAAGGCAAGCCTCTGCGAAAGGTAACGCTTCATAATATAAATCTAAACACCTGGCCCGGTTCCAACGTTTTACCTCATTTTCGTTTTGAACGACGAGGCGCCTGTTTTTCCAACGACAGCTCTTCAGGCTATAAAATAAATCCCGTATAATCTACACTAGCAGTATGCAGATTAAGATCTACTGAATATTCGACATTTTATTTCATTTTGATGGCTATCTGCTGGGTGGCACGATTGCGTTAATGTATAATTATGGATAATAAAAATCAGTTTAACTGGGTTTAGTGTATTGGAAGACTCTATCTACACTTTACCAATGATAAGATTATCTCTGGAATGAAGAGCTTGATGAAGTGACGGTAAACTAGATATCTTCAGCATTCTGGTCGGATTCCCATGTACATAGTGGCAATTTCGGCAGGTTATACATAAAAATTTAGCATTTTTATTAGATAATTAACAAGTAAGTTTGGATCAAAAACGTTGATGTGACGTTCTTCTAATTTTTTCATAAAGTCATGAAAATACAGAAGCGCAAATGTGCTAAGGCATAATGCATTTTCTGTCGATAATATACGTTAATATCATATTTAAACTGCAATACGAATGGCGTTAATTTGAACCCGCATTTTTGCTGTCATGACTTGTTTTCAAGTTTCCAAAGGTTTTATTTTATATCCTCTAGTTTCAATCAGAAGTAGCTTGAAAGAACGAAATTATGAAAAAAAATAATATCGCCAAAAAGTATATTGTTGTCGAAAACATTTTAATGTAAGTAAAAAAGGAGCTACCATCTTGCCCAGGTGTACTTATCTTAGATTACAAAGATTCCACTGCCATTTGAAGGAGATACATTCCATAACATGAGGTCCAACATTCTTTCAGTTGTTGAGCTATGCCTTGATTGATCTATCTCCATTATATTATGTAGGTTAACAGTCAATAACTATAAGAACGAAGTTTAAATCGTACTGACCAATCAACAAAGGCTTGGCTACTCACAAGTCGAAATCGTGATGTCAGGTTTTTCATTAATTAATACACGTAATTTTCAGGCGGTTTAGTATACAGTAATATTGAAGGAAATAAAAATAAATACCCGGGGTCGGTACTTTTCACCCTGTACGGTTTTAAACCTTTATGCAAATTGTTGCATCCATAATGCTGTGAACCATAAAGATGCATCATGTATTTACCACTCAATTTCATTCTGCTCTGCCGAGTTAGTTCACAGAGGAAACCTTATCATGTAGAGAGGATAACAGCGCTTATAACACAAAGTAGATTCCACTATTGCTGAGGTATTACCAAGATCCGGGACAACACAAAACGGCTTCAAGTAAAGGATCTTGTAAAAGGAAGAAAGAAGTTGGGTTATACAGCCTCATCCAAAAAACCTAATGTACTTCTACGGTCATGGCTGTCTTATTGACATTCGGTTTGTTCAGAAAACACATATTTTGTGACCAGACAATGTCGTGTATAAAAAGAAGTGCAAGGATAAAGGCGCAATTCCACGGAGGCAACACAAAACGATAAAAAATATGTCTCCTTGTCGCATGCCACAAGTTGCCCGTTGTTGCCTCTCGAGGGCGCCGTCAGCGACATGAATCCACGTGTTGATCAGTGTCGCCGGGTATCCAAACCTGTTCGGATCGGTGCGGCCTGGAGCAGCCGACAAAATGGAGTGGACCAATGAAGATTACCATAATTCGGATGAATTATGGAACAAGAAATCGGAGAGATATAAAGATGCGCGAATAAAGCAGGATAAATTACAGGAATTGTTAGGTAAATGTAATTATGATAGGCCTTGTACGATGATGAGGCAAAAATAGTTGGTTTATTTATCAATGGTTAATTTCTATAAATAGGAAAATACAACTATTAGGTAGGTAAGAATTTGCGTTCGGCGTTCCATCGGGAACGACAAAAATTACGGGGAAAGTGGATCATCGACCTGCAAAAGAGGGTATATATTTCTTCACCAATATTCTGGCGATTTTCTTTTCCGATCCAAAGAAATTACTAAATAAGCAGCCGCCGCGACTGTTTGTAATGTCATCACGTACTAAACTCAACTTTCCTGAATTTAATCGTGGAGACGCATGCCACACATAGGGAAACAAAATCCGCATGCGGTATTAATGGATTTTTGGGCAACAATATCGAACGTCAACAAGAAGCAACACTAGGAAACAAGTAGCACGCCACATGTCATTCACTGTTGCCTCAGTGGAATCCCACCTTAATAAATCTTGACCAATTCTATTCATCCACAATTCATTTAAGACGAATGATCGCTGATCAATGTGTAATTCCAATATGCAAAGTGACATTGTATGTGTCCAAGCACAGGCCAGTTAATAGCAACCACACCTAAAATAGCATTTCAGCTTACTACGGTAATGAATATTAACTATTCTTAATGGTTCGTCGAAGAAACATTAAAACCAATGTTTATTCGTGTTTTCAGATACCGTGAAGCAATGCCAATAAAATCAAAGCGATATAGGTATTGTAGGCAACCTGTCTCTTATTTATATCACTGTTTGTCGAATCCAATGAAGTGATACGAATTATTTCACAATATTTTGAACTGCTTTCTAGCTGAGTTAACGCACAACTGGTCCGAAGAATTGTGCCGATAAACGATAATCAACAGTGTCTTCCTGTTATATAGTTGCAGCTAAGTTTCATAATTCGAATGAATTAAATCGATTGATTTGTGCAAATTAATGTATACAGTTTTGCAAACAAGAGTCATTGATAAGCCAAGTGAACAGTTGGATCAGGACATGAAGAATTTTTTTAAAAATTGTATAAGACAGATTTAACAACGGTATTATATTCTTGAGGGTAAGTGAAAAGGTCACTCAAGTACAGCTACAAAAAAATCGTAAGTAAGTTTTTTATTAAACGTCACAGCTGGAAGAATAACTTGGTCGCGTATATTCAAAACTCGGTAAAAGTAACCCAGAGGAGAACTTCAGGGGTTGGAAAAACCTTCACAATGAGGCCTTATATTTAATTGTTACAGCAGTTAACTTGACACTGCTAAAAAGTTCAGTTTGCTTACAAAGTTATTTTTGACCGGAAAATGCGTATTGGTAAATATGAAACAATGGCTAGAGTTTAAAGTCGTTTTAGCGATTATCCTCCGAAAAAGAACTTCATCTAAATATGTAGTGATTTATATCAAAAAAATAAGCTTTTCCAAAACTGCACAAAACTTTTTGCAATGTCTAATTGTTACTGGTGTTTTAAGTCAAATTAACGAGTTGTCCAGCGATGTATCCGCGATGAAAAATTGAACATACAGCTATGGAAAGTTTCTATCGGTCATCCAAAAAAAACCTTCAATCCTATATCTCTTGCGTCTTGCTTACTAAGAGTGTGCAGTTTTAAAATTTCCTAACTTATATAACTTTGGATTTTGAAGGTCCTTGATCCCTCACGACTTTTTTATAGACTATTTGTACCAATATACTCATAGTATTTGAATGCAGGCGGTGATTTTTCCAACTCTCTACGTATAATAAAAAAATTATCGAGCAAGTTTTTTGTCTCTCTGAATGACCTCCGTTGTCTATAATCCATTTTAACTCAATAGGGTCTATTTTTCGGCTTGTCGGCCTGATAGCTGCTTCTGAAACACGTTTCGTTTAGGCTATTATATTAAAATTATATCGTGAAAAGTAAGCTCAGCGTTTTTCCGTAGCAGCCAATACGAATTTTGAAACGCTCTTTAGTACAGCCCAATTGTATATAATAATGAGATCCTCATTTGTATGTACAAGATCATAGAAGCATCTGATTGCTCTTTATTCTTACGTTTTTAGGTTTCTCGGCAGAGACCTAACCTCTGGTCTTTTTTCCTTCAGTGCAAAATGCTATTTATTACCCGAAATGCTGCCAATCAGACAGAAGCCCAGAACGATCCATGTTGAGCACCCATGCTGATTTCGTGAAAATGCAATAAAAGAGTTTGGTTAAGTCAATCCATAAGAGAAGAATCCTCAACATGTATTTCAGCCTTAATCATTCCAAATCTCATTTCTGTTTATCGTATACATGTCTGCACGGGCAACCTCGATTCAACAGCTTTCGCGCAGACTGGGACGGGTATAGCTTCGGCTTCGTTGTACAACATGTGAAGGTACATAACTGGGATTTATGAAAGTTGCTCAATTACATTTTAAGGTCATCGTTATATTGTGCGAAGAGAAAGAGGAGATTTTTTGAAACCTTTCGTGTTCGGTAAATTGCCGTAATATATCTCCGCATATTATTTAACAAACAGGTATGCACGACGAGTGGCGTAACCAATAGAGGATGAAGGGGTGAAACAATCCGTTTCACAGATTCACCCCAAGTTCCGTTTAAGTTATTACCTGCATTCAATAGTTATAACATACTGTAGATGGAGTATGCGGGATCTTAGATTTTGCGTCTTTGTATTAGTTCTCAAGATGTGAGATCTTAGATTTGCTGACTCATATAATCAACATAGATAAAGTTAAAAGATCAGCAGGTCTGTCAGATCCGGTTGCCCAGATACTAGTCAAATTCAGGAAAAAATAATGGAGGGAGAGGAAGAAACCAAGGAAGGTTGAAAGACGGATGTGACAATGAGTTAAAAAAAATCAAGTAATGGAAAATCGATTTTTTATATTAGTAGACAAATCATATTTTTCTAAATAGTAATAATAAAATTAAGAAATCAACATTAACAATATATAAGAGCAAAAACCAAATAAGATGATAAGTATGTATAGAGATAATCAACACGACAACCTTCTGGTTTCAAAACAAAAAAAACCTTGGATTGATGAGGTAAGTGTTTCTTTACAATAAAGCCGTTGAACTTAAAATTAGAGATTGTTTTCCATTTCATATCCATAGTGAGAGGATGGAAAACATCTGTAATAGTCTATTTTTTAGTGACGGAGGCCATGTTAGATTTGCTTAACTTTTTCTAGTGTAATTATTGTATCATTTTAGCCAAGTTCCTCCATTTGATACCCATAGTGAAGGAGGTTAATCAACGATATCTAGTAAACCAGCGGCAGCCATCTTGGATTTGACATTTTACCTAGTTTACTGCATTATCTTAGTGAAGCTATTTCATTTGATAATTTACATTGGAAAGGTTATTAAAAAAATATGAATTCCGTCATTTTGAGGTGGCAATCATTTTGGATTTACAATACTGAATATACATAATTGCATTGAGGACTAAAGATATGTACCAAATTTCATATCAGTCGATCAACAGAAAAAATTCTTCTCTGTACAAACTGCAGGCTTCGTATATGCGATCGAACTTACTTTTGAGGTTCAATAATATAGGGTAGATATGTTGAAATGTAATTTGAAGTTCGGATTCCAATTCTTCAATGGTATAGCTAAAACTTTAGGTAGGGCGCTACTACAATTTACGATACCCTTCGTTATCTAACGATTAATTTAAATAAGATACTGACCTGCCCATTCTAATAGCTGATATATCGCACTTTGCAACCTGTTATAAGCCAGCTTCACAGAAATAGACTGGCACTCTAGTGCAGTGCTATCGACATAAAGATGAACTTCACAGTTGCCGGGGCAAAGAACATTTGTGTGAAGAGCGAATAGAGGGTTGGTTAGAGATACGAACCCTATAACAATATATTTAAGCTCAACATACACAAAGTATCGTTATAAGACGAATGTATCAGCATTATCACATAAATATCAGCACACTAATAATTTCAGTAATTGAAGATGTTCCTTGTGACAAAACAATAAATACCAGTAACATTCTAAAAAAAATAACAATATAAATTAATGTGCACGATTACTGCTAGAAGTTGATTGACTGCCCGCCTTTCCACCCATCGCAAAATATCTGAATCGCAGTACGTCTATGATTCAAAGACCAGCGCGGCGAGCCGAGATGCCGAAGAAACGAGGCCTGTAATGAATTTTAATCGAGTCGTAGCGACGTGTAGACATTAGCATTAATTAACCTTAAAAGTGCTTATTATAGCCTCGATACCTATAGGCACCGTGCGATGTTGTATGAGTATTGTGCTGCTTACTGACAACAGGTCTTTCATGTTGCTTCAGCAAAAGAAATTAAATATTTATTTTTACCTGGCTTGCGCTCTACGAGCTTGGTACTCGGGAGAGTATTCGTTTCATTGTTGTTGTTTCTGACAGATACAACAAAAAATCTTAGGCGGTATTTCCCGATTTGGTCTATACAGGATGCCCCTAAAGTTAGAGTCCTACACAGTGTAACAGTTAGCATATTTTTCTACTAACACATAGAGCTTTCAAGTTCCTAAAAATCTGAATGGGTCGGCCCGGCCCAGCATCAAGCACCGCGCGTATGTAGATTAACCTAACTGTTTATTCACAAATGGATTTGAAAAACAGAAATTGGCAGATTGATATTACAATAACGGCGTTATCGATTTGAGTTTAGCTTTCGGCGAGTGTATTAAAGATTCTACTGAGACTGAGAGAATGTATTTAGATCATTTTCCTGGAAGTTTCCTTCTACAGCTGCATAGTTTTATTTATATCGTTTAAAGGACGTCGGGGTGGGCCCAGTAGAAGATCTAGATTGTTTCAAATTCAAAATTTAGAAAAAATATGAACTTGTGTTGCTGAATCAAAGTGACACAACTTCAAACAGTATATATACGAGCAAAACATGTGAAAGGGCAGTACTTGAATTTTCTTATAAACTCAGTGCTTTTCTCCAATTCATTTTTAAGCTTTCTCTGCTGTTTTAGCGCACGTCAGCTTTACTTGAAAAGAAAAGTCCCCACCTTCGTTACACCCTGTAGAAAACATACACATAAGTAGTGATAAGCTGATGTGGTTATCAGGAGGCCTCTTTCACAACTCTCTTGTCAATAGCAGTTAAGTCTGTCAATGCAACTAAGGCTTTCTACAGTTTTTAGGGTTGAATGAACGACTGTGCATACATAGTGGAAAAGTTAGAGGTGAAGTTTATTGGAGCTTTGCGTATCATTGTAAAACAAAAAAAAATTTTGCACACCAATTACTTGTACGTGTTGACTAACTGTTTTTACTTCCCACGTCAACTGGCGAGGAAGTAATGGTATTCTCGGAAAATTTCGAAAATCAGAGTATGTTCTTTCGATGTACATCACGATGTCGCTTATTTCCGTCGGAGCGTCTAATTATCTGTCGGCGCGCCTTTCTGTCTGTCCGCTAATCTTAGGCCCCGCTATAATTTGGAAAGCCTGCTTGATTTTGATGAATTTTTGAAACAAGGCTAGGACTATGCCAAGGGCGAAAAAGCTTTGTAGTTTTTGAACATCGATCCAGTGCCGGTGGAGGTGCAGGCAAAAAATTACAAAAAAAGATTTCTTAACCTTCATTTCCTTATCTTTCAGAGGCTCGTCATTTTCAGAAAAAAATATGTTTAGGAAAAAATGAGGACTGGGAGATGCAGGGGTCGGAGAGGGTATGTCTCAATTTTTTCTAATTTCGGTGATTCTACGCACCTATTAGAAATATTCCATATATCACAGATTTCCTCGTACACGCGCTCTTTAAAACTCAGATGATATAGAAATTCTTTCAATACACGCGTGCCACGCAACGCAATGAACTGAGATACCTGCCTCAAGGTCTGAGCAATGCGTAGGCGAGTGGCGTGGTTAGTCATAGCAACATTGACAGGTGGTCGGTATTGTCGGTAAGGCAGAGAAATAACTAAATCGCAACGTTGTCAAATGAGTAGGGACTATGGACTAAAGTCATGGGCCTGTTTGACTGAAATATTCATTTTTTTTTTGTAAATGTTCCTAGCTTTCTTTATCAAAGCAATACTTTATGAACTGATGACAGCGTTACGTGGGAAGTGTAAGGCCTACTGCTTGACGCGATTTTCTTCCTAAAGCGCCTAGAATATGGAAGTGTCTACCAAGAGTTACATTCCTTAACCAAGATATGCCTTAACTCAAACAGTGCAAATTCTTTAAGTTATGAGTAAATTAAAACCGTTCTCCCGGCAAACATGTTTATAGGCGTATATTGGAATGTCATGTGTACAACAATATGTTATTTTAAAACAAATTTATATATAGAGTGGGCGATCTAGAATTTGAAATTTAAATAAGCGATTCTGTTGTCAAGTTTTCGGTTCGACCAACGGACTGAAAATATCAGCATTTTTAATGAAAAGTTATCTTGTCACGTAAGGCACATGTTTAGCTCGAGACTACGCGAACAAGAAAAATAGCTGCATTTGAGGCTCAGAGAATCTACAGGTAGTCGAGGAGAAGCCAAACGCATCCATAAAAAGCGGCTGTATGCGGCACCATCTGGGTCTTCGAAAATTACCAGGATGTTCCATTTGTATCAATGGCGACAGTTACCGGGTTATGTTCACCGAATTTTTGTTTCCAAAAGTTGATGTTGAACCCGTCGTTAGCAATCACTCACAATACTGTCTGGCGAACACTCCCTAAATAACTGCATAGTCACAACGTTTGCTTCTCGCGAACAATATATTTTTCAGGACTTGAAAAGCGTGTACTATATTTAGTACAATAGGAGCATTCTACGTCATTTCTACTACTCGTAATATCGAAGAGTTTATGGGTAATTAGGTATGTGATAGCAATCGCGCTAATCCAGCATTTAGCTACTCAAGTATATAAAATGTAACGGGTGAACTCTCGCAATAATAATCCTTCATGTTTCTCTGGCCGCATCAAACCACATAGGTTTAAAATTCCTCTTTATTATATAAAGTTTCGGTCCTAACAATATCCTTTTTCAAGTATAATTGACAATTTTGTTACAACATATTCTATTTGTCTGTCTTCCAGGTAACGCTTCGTTTGTTTTTTCCTTTAATTTAAATTTAAAAATCTACCGGTGTATTAGGACAATTGCTCCGGGTGGGTTTAGGCAATTTCGGACGTCTTATGACGTTTTCGGGGCGCTGGAAGAGGGTGACTGGTGCATTAAAAAACACAAGATAACATCATGCTCGCTCGACGCTTTGGAGGGGTAGATATCCTTTTGGAAACGGGAATACCGACTCCAAGCAGCCCTGCGCTTTGCTGGTTTTGTACGGTTATATCTTATAATTGGAACTCAGCATGTTGGAGGACCTTTCAGGCTACTGTAGTAACACACTGCATATGATTGGATAAGTTTCAGATGCTTCAATGTCGCAAAATGAGTCCATTATTGACATAAAAAGCTGAACATCACCTCAAGGATGTTAGCAAAATACTTGAAAGAAGTATATCAAATCTATATAATAATAAAGGTTATCTGTAAATCTTGTTGACTCAACTTTCGCATTCTAACGAGCGCCAGCTATGTTATCTATGACGTTATCTGAAACAATTTGCTAATGCGAATTTTTTATGTACAATGTTATACTTTACTGGAGATAAACTCACGCAAAAGGCTGAATAGTGTTTATAGAATGAGTTCATTGTAGATAATTACTGCGCACTTTTGCATCCAATTTCTTTCAACATTTAGGACGTGTTCTGAGCTTTGCAAGAAATTAGATGTAAAAATGCTCATAGGAAAACTGCGCATCCGATTTCGTTCTGTCAACAACAAGAGATTATAATATGTTCACAAAAGATAAGCTTCATGTATTTTTCATGCAATATTTTTCAGATAAATAAGTTTTTAAAAATAGATTACACGCAGTTGAACATAATTCATAAATCAAACTTAACCAAATCAACTCTCCCCCCACCCCATCCTAAATTTCCATTGTCAAGACAGTCAGTCATAGCACGCTGTTTATGCATAGAACGATAAAACACTGAATAGAACAATGGTTTCTAGACAGCATGACAACAGACTCCTGACAGAAATGATGACATGCCACTAGTGACTTTGTTTTATGATTGGTGGAAGTGCACATGTGCCTGTCCATGATTTGTAACAAAATATTTGAACGTTGCAAACAGAGGGAATATCGAAATCCATTCAATATTTTCTCGTCAAACAAATAAAGCCCTATTCATACTCAGCCGTGACGTGACAGTGCTGTGGCCGGCACGTGATCCGCCAGGCAAAACTAAACAGATTCTTCCTGGAATTTGGATGAACTAATTTACACTAGACCGGCACGTGGAAGGGGCCGTGTTCTCAGTGCACTCGACGACGCCGTACTGCGATTGATCATCGCATTATTTTTAGATTTTCACGGCTGTGCTTTCATGTAATTTCGTGAATATTTTAATATCTTTGGTCAAAAACATTTAGACCTCACGTGATCACAACTGCACTGACAGAACACGGAGAAAAATACAGACCGGTGTGAATTGAAAACACTGTGAGCTCACGTCAGCGAGAATCACTGCCACGTCACGGCACTGTAACGCCACGGCTGAGTGTGAATAGACCTTAAGATGATCAATTCGACCGTGACATACCTGAAACATAACTAACAGATCTGAGACGATACTTGCCCAGTGATTTCATGTGCATGCCAGCTCGCGCGAAAGTAAGCAACAAGAGACAAAAATACAAAGCGTACATGTTTAATTCAAATTTCAGGTACGTTGGACTTGATACGATTCATGTCACTGCAACTGTAAAGTAGACCAAATCGGAATTCAAATTCGGGAATATGTTTTTTTTTTGTGGTTTGGAACGATGCAATTGTTTTGTATATAATATATAAAGTGCTTTTCAAAAAGGTCCCCCTCCTACGTATTTTTCGAACGAATCAAGTTAGCAAGCCGAAATTTGGGGTGATAAAGTGGATGCATGAATATTATATTTTTGCGTAAACTAAGCAGTTGCAGACTTCAAGATGGCGGTTTAGCGCCATTTTGGAGAGCTTTTATAAATGGAATATCAGGTCGTGTATAATATAAAATCACCAGCCTGCAAAATAACGAACTGGCAGGTTGTCAAAGTTAAGCGTTTTTGTGTATTGAATATCTTATAACGCAGGTTGTCAAAGTTAAGCGTTTTTGTGTATTGAATATCTTATAACTCAATAGCCAACCGTCCAAACGCTATAGTAGCTTGAATCAATCGTTTTCGGTTGAAAGGGGTTATTTGAATATGTAATAAAATATGAATCATTCCATTAAAAAAAATGTGAAAATCTGTGAAATTCCTATAAGCTATTTTATTGTAGATCCAGATAGTTCTTATAAAAGAAAAACATTTATATGGAATACTATAAAGTTTTGATGTTTCTTTGTTGACTTCCTTTCAGAATACAGCCTGATTTTGAAAAATATTCTAGGGTAATAAATTACTCATAAAGGCTCCAGAATGAGGTGTCGCATGACCCACGTACCATTAAAATAATGTTACTACTAATTTTCAAGAGTCACAACCCAGAATTTCAGCTTGATAACCTGACCCGTTCAAAAAATAAGTAGATTAGGACTTTTCTGAAATGCACTGTATACCTATAGTAAATATTACCGTCAACTGACAACAAAAGCTTTCTTGACAGGAAGTTATGCCCCAAGATCAAAAGTGATGCAGTACCTACTGCTGAGAAACCTGTGTTGACAGATTTCAAAAATGAATTTAACTAAATACTTTAAGAAAATGTATAGTCGAAAACTTGTAAGAACTAAAAAACGTTTATTCAGATGGATGACCGCAACTTTCACATTTGTCAACACGAGTCGGTAAACTTAAGAAGGAACCTTCCTTACCGGACCGATATCGATAAGTACACCGGTCTATTTTGAATTAAGCAAGTGATCAAGACCATTCTGGTAAAGTTATACAGATTTTACAAGTAAACTCAATTATTACTCAATCCGATATTAAAAAATACTGAATCTATTACAATATTTCTACTATCAACTTGAACAATGAATAAAATAAAACGATCTGTTTTTAAAGTGAACAAACACAATGTTTACAAATAACCTAATGATATTAGTGTTGGCAAGATGAAACTCAATTTGATTAGAATATTGAATTGCTCTGTTTACAAGCATTCATAGGCTCTGCGGCGGAACATCAGGGAGTTGTTTCAAGTTTATTATACACACAATACGTTAAAACAAAAGACAGTGAAATCTGGAGGCTTGTGAAGCTCATTTACATTTAGTATAATACAGCACGCTGCTTTACACTTACATGATGAATGAATGTAAAGATAATTTTAATCTTACGCTATCTTCACGTTTCATAACATGACACGAAAATCCTTGTTATAAATTATTATCATGGTTTCTGTGGCGTCTGCTGACGGGTGACAACGGTTGGAAGGAACGCGATTTCTCTGTCTGTAGTACTTTGATAATAATCTGTCTGTCATTAGATCGGTTATCCTATTCCTTATATGGGTGCGTAGATCGAAAACTGCATGTCAGGTTTTCGGTGAGAACGGCGCAAGGTTTCAAATTTTCAATTTTTCAGTTCAAAACAGGGGCTGCGCGGTATTTTAGCATTTGACTAAATGAAAGTCAGCCAAATTATTACATCGTTCGATTGTAGCTACGATTACGAATTAGAGAATTTTGCATGAAGGAATTTCAAACTTGCACACTATTGACGAGAAAATTCAAAAATTATAGCGATCAAAACCTGTTGCTTGGATGAACCGGGTAATTAACAGGAGGCCCTATAACTCATATGCTTCTATTCTAAATAGGGCTTAGTGACAATTTTTTTAATAGCCATATTCGTAACCAGCTGTCTAACATAATTGTATGCATAGAATTTCCTTCACATATCTAGGTACATGTTACGAAAATCGAAATATTGCATCGAAAAACTTTTGTCAAAGTTTGGTTAGGTGCAAAAACCCAAAATATAAGAAATATAAAATTACTAAATAATAAGTGAAACATGTGAAGATAAACAGAAAGTACACCACGAATTACTGCCACTATGTAAACATTAAATTCAAACATGGTATTAGTGATTAATTAGCTATGAAAGCAGTGAAACTGATCATTGTTTCATTCCACCTAACGTCCAGATTATTTTTCCACTATGGAAGATAAGTATAAAATTTCACATGCGAAACTCAGTTGAATGTATGATAGCGTAATTTATTAGTTTACATCTTAGTATAAATAACATAATTAATAACTGCTGCGGACTACCGCAGTAATTTTAATGTTGAAACTATAACATGTTATACTGAATCACAATATAAAAATGTTCATTTAAGCAACTGAAGTCTGCATACTGCGTAGGGAACTATTTGAATTATCGCACAGATGTAAATAAATTGCTTCAATTCTTTAGCAATTATCTGAAATTTAACTACAAACCGTGCCAGATGTTTCCGAAAAAGACTTTTATACTTTCCAAAATAAAGGGTAAATGGTAAGAATGCAATGCAATTAAAACTTTTTTTCTTAAAAAAATCACTGGTTGAATAGTATCTTCACATTCTGTTATAAATGTTGGGATTCCACCACACCTGTTGTAACCAGTAATTTCAGAGGACGTCCCGTAAAACAGCTTGTTGTACAATTCAAAAAAAAAAAACAAAAGTATCAGACCTTGTCCGTAAAGAATATGAACTGCATTTCAATAGAATCTATTTAGAAAGAAACGTTTCCATAAGTGATGATAGTGGTAATACTTGTAACTTAGACACTATAATATATATGATGATAATAATAAAATGACTTTATTCGACACATTATAAAAACTACAATATAATGTGACCTCTACGTAGGCGAAGTTTAGCTCTGGGCTACTCTACTTAACCTACTCAAATAATAGATTGAAACATCACTTAATCAAACGAAAATTTGTAAAGCGGCTAAAGACGCCTCAAAGCAAGCGAACTTGATAGCTGCCTGACATATGTACATAATACACATGTATATTACGTATATGAAATATAAAACAAAATATAAGATTTGATGGCAATTGAAAACTAACTTTTCCACAATTACAACAATGACAAATAAAACTGTTTCACATGCTTACGAAATCTGTTTACTGGCCAATCCTTTATATTGTCATCTAAATCGTTATAAATCATGATAGCATTGCAAGTGTATGAACTACGAAATAAAGTTGTTTTATACATAGGGATCTCTACTCTTTTTTGCGGTCTGAAACCAATGTCTGAATTACGTCGTCTGAAAACAAATTTCTCATATAGGTAATATATAAATTTTATTTTATAATTATTATGTTGTTTTTATGATATCCTATATCATAGTGTTATTGTGTTAGAAACATTCTTATTTATTCCTTTATTGATTCCTTTTTTCTGATTTTGTCTGGGAAACCACCCATGACTAATTATAAGAGCCCCAGGATATTCAGTGGTGTGCCCGATAAAAACAAAGATATTGACGATTGTAACTTAAAAATGATTTGACATTGCGACCGCAAAATATTTTATTTCAAACCACTAAGGACAACTAATATTAGTATTGTAGTTGGGACATTATTCAGGGAACAAAAAACAATGACCATAACTTCACATGGCTTATTTTTTTTAAAGGCTCACAAAACTATGGCCATGCGTGACTCTCTCGTTTTGCTTTTTTAGAATATGTCTCTAGAACATGTGATCTAACACCATATACTTCTTTCTATAGGGTTATTTGAAGTTGAAAGTCTCTACCAACAGGCCCACATACACTCGTGCATTGAAGGACGGAATTCAACCCTGCGCCAACGAAGATCAAGATAAAAAAGTAAGTACGTGCTTCTATACATAACAGAAAAATACCAATTGTTATAGATCTCTCCAGGAGCGACAATGGATTTATATCTATTGCTTTAAACATATTTGCATCTGGTATGCGTTTTGTTTATCAAAGGAAGAACAGGTAAAAAGACGATAGAGACTTTTTCGGTCACCATTGAGCTAAGCTCGCTGCAAATGATTCTCGAGTTGGTTGGCTGGCAAACGCAATTACGAGTGTACGTCACCGGGCTGTCGACTCTGCCAGCTAAGTGGTTCAAGACAAATTATTGTTATTATTCCTACCTGTTTTATTACAAAACGCGGGCTGTTATTTCTGCAAAAGGCACGGCAGTCGCGACCAGCCGAGCACTTATTTGCGTTAGATTATGGAAATGTGCGTTATTTACATTTGACATCTCAGTTCAATTATACGGATTGACGCAGCGGTGTGCTAGTTTGCGTTAGCGTAATTATAAACGCGCTTTTATTCTATTGGCCGGACTGGTTTCCTTGACTTGTGGCGGGTGAATGTCGGACAGATTCAAATGACTCAATCCTCTGATACGGAGCCTATCTTTAACATACGATTTGGTTCAAATGTGTATCACTGTACCTAGGCACGATTTACGACGTCAACCATTATACGGAAAGTTCCTAGAAGGCAGCCATTTCTAATGAATTGGATATTTTTTATAAAAAGGGCAATATCTGAACTTCACATAATTTCGTGGAATCCGGAATCACTTACGAGGTCTGTGAATTGAGTGATGAAACTAGCAACGTAGCGTTCGATCTGGGAATACTGGAGGGGAGAGGAGACATGGTAAGTGTGATCCGCTCTCAGTACAAGTTTGAACTCGCTCGAGTCGTTTGGTTGTTCGTAGCGATTTTATTCTGCGATTTTTTTTTCTAACGTATTCTAAAAATGAGTGACATCAATTGTGGGCAACGGTATGCTATCAGGTTCTGCTTCAGACGTGGGCACAGTGTAACGGAAACTCTTGCTAAACTTCAGCAGGCCTGCGGGGACAGTGTTTTGTCAAGAGCCCAGGTTTTTCGGTGGTTTAAGGCATTCTCAGAAGGGAGCGAGTCGGTTGAAGATGAATCATAAAGCAGAAGGCCTACATCTTCAAGAACCGATGAAAATATCGACAGAATCCGGAATCTTTTGCGTTCAGATCGTCGGTTGACAGTCAGAACGATCGAGGAAGAGTTAAATTTGACTCACACCACCGATCATCAGATCAAGAACAACTGAGTATGGCATCATGATAATACTCCTTGTCACACAGCAACGTCAATAAACGAATTTTTGGCCAGTCAGAACATTGATGAGGCTCATCAGCCTCCCTATTCGCCTGACTTAAGTCCTTGGCACTTTTTTCTTTTCCCGAAGTTGAAAAATCGCATAAAGCAAACTGATTTTGAAGATAAACTTATTTTGAGGGTGACAATATATAATTGCAATTATACTTGAATTAAAGAATTTTATGAAAGACCAGTCTCATCACTTAATTTAGAGACCTCGAATATTTAATTAACTTTTAGTGAAATGTTCACCCGGATACTTCAAACTTCCACCCTATAGGTGGATTTCTCAATTTCAAAAAAATATAGACTGATTAGTGCTCTAATTTGACAGTCATTCTTCGTGAAAAATTATTTAAAGAGAAACGACATCTACAATTTTTGGACAGAACAATGTCTCAATCCAATTGAATCACTGTAAAACAAAAATATGTTTACTCATACATTTTCTATTTCAGAAGTGGGATCCAGAATGATAACTTCTTGCTTTGATGCTATTACAATGGGAATAAACCTACATTTTCGGAGTGCAACTCGATCATTCAAAAGGCAGTGTGCAGAAGCTATGCGAGATTAAAAAGTGCATGCGGGGGTTGAAAAATTACTAACTAGTCTATTGTAATAAGAAAATATTAATAGAAGCAACACTATCCAAAAATAGTAACACTGGTTAGTTATATCATCGTCAAATTATTTCCCTATATGTTAAAAACATATCTTATAATAGATATGTCCGAGTTTGAAACCGCACTAACACGCTAAGACTCAAAATAAACTAAGCATTTTGTAGGAAGGACAAATGCATCATTTTTAGTTTATTCAATGGCAAGTAGACCACATCTGCTTTACAGCCAGAATCGCCAGCCTCTAGCGGTCACGTGAACTGAGACATTCAATAGTTCCAACTAATAGCAGCTATGTGCTCTCCGAAGTGGTCGACTCTGGTGATAGATGCCACTTTGCGCTGTCTTATTAAGACTCAAAATACTATACAATGTTATAACCGATTACGTACTATATGTTACATGAAACAATATTAACTACCGTATTACACATACCCATACACAGCTTAGTGCATGGATGATTCCAATAATAACCTGAATTACTTATATGCCTATACCCGATTCAACAATTGATCTAGTGGTATTGAGGACGCATTAATATTTTAGTCTATGATTACTAATGCAGGGTGTTTAATTTGCTACTCTAGTAACATAGTATGTAGGGTATTATATCAAATATTATGTCATACAAATAGGACTAGCAGAGAGGATGAGGGGGTAGATGTTTGACATTTATGACGCATATAAACAGGTAGGTCAAGGTAATAATAGAAAGGTGTACATGCTATCATGGTACTTACAATGGATGGTTACACTTCGTTTAACTTACCTGAAAAAAAACAGAAATCGTTATTACTACATATAAACATTGAGACTGATATTTTATATCAGGCACAAAATATGAGAAACATGTCCCATCGCTAATGTGATAGCTGTTTGGTAAGAGTCGTTTCATCAACCATTTTTTAATTGTACTCTTTATAGTAACCGGTTTGTTGCCAAAGGATCACGATCTTCCAACTGCATCAAACTTCGTCATCATATACTTGTAAAGTACCTTCCCCACTACAGTTTATGTAGATTCTGATATTCAACCTATAACAATTTGTTGAACGACAGCCGCTTTGCACGAAGACATTTAGAGTGAGCCAAAATGATCTCTGCAATGGGACTGGATGGAAGAAAGCTGATACTGGCTTCCTCTCTTCAAGACGAAAGACTTAGAGGTAGTCCACTGCTGAGAACATAGTAAGTGCAATGAGTTTATTCAAACATACAGTATGAAGCACTTAAACAACATCAGGCTCTGATAAAAGGCTGATCCTCGCAACCTTTGGATTAGATGTTATACTGACGGTTTCTCTCTACTATCTTACCTTACAAAAAGAATAAAAACATTGCACGACACAGCGAGATCCCAGTTAGAAAAGTGGTGCTATGAGTTTTAGATAAAATAACTCTTTTGTTGTTGCCCGAACAGCAAACCAAACCAATGTTGTCTGAAATTCAAGTTTCCTTCCTTCAGTATATTTGTTCTAAAATATACTAAGTGACATATAAATCCGAACACCCAGTTTAAATGGTTTTATTTTAATAAAAGTTTGTGAATGTATTTATCTTACTGTAAATAACAAGTGAAAAAATTTTCAGCCTTATCAGTTGGACATTCCGGTTTTTATACTGCTTTTTTTTAATTCACTAACGCTCTAAAAATGAATATTTCAGCCGCAGTAAAGAATCAACGTTGGCGGATTTTGGTTCTTGACATCCTTTACGATCGGTTACGATGCCTAGAGTACGGAGACCTGTACGATTTCATCAACTTAGTGAGTTTGATAGGGGCCGTATAGTGGGACTTCGGGAAGCTGGACTTTCTTTTCGGGCAATTGCAGTTAGAGTGCAAAGAAGTGTAGACACTGTGGTTAGGTGTTGTCAGGCATGGCTTCGAGAAGGCCGTACGCAAAGAGCAAGGGGCACTGGACGCCGCCGTAGAACAACAGACCGTGAAGATCGCCGCCTAAGATTATTGGCCTTAAGGGACCATTTCTCCACTACCAGGTCCATTGCAAATGAATGGTTTGCAGAACACGGGAGACCTATTGGCATGCGAAGTGCTTACCGACGAATGAGAAGTTTTGGCTTGTTTTCATACCGGCCTCACTGGGTCCTCCCTTTAACTCGAGAACACCGACGTAATCGCCTTGAGTGGTGCAGACAACGGTCACTCTGGGATCAGGAATGGAACAGTATTTATTGTCTTTAGTGACGAGTCTCGATTTTGTTTAGGCATGCACGATGGTCGTGCCAGGGTTAGAAGACGACGTGGTGAAAGGAGGAATCCACAGTTTTTTGTTGAAAGACATGTTCATCACACTGTTGGAGTTATGGTTTGGGGTGCTATGGCTTATGGTTCCAGGTCACCTTTAATCTTCATCAGAGGTAACATGAACGCGCAGCGTTATATCCACGAAGTTCTAGAACCCCATCTTTTACCCTATCTTGACACCCTGGCAGATCCAACTGTCCAACAAGATAATGCCCGACCACATGTTGCAAGAGTCACAATAGACTTCTTTCAACATAATGATGTCACATTGTTACCATGGCCACCAAGATCTCCCGACTTATCCCCAATTGAGCACGTGTGGGATATGATGGGTAGGAAATTGCTCAATTTGCAACGTCCTCCTCAGACTCTAGAAGCACTTCGAGAGAAGTTGGTGGTTGCCTGGAATGAGATACCACAGGAGGACATTGACCTCCTGATCAGAAGCATGCCTAGGCGCGTTGGAGAATGCGTAGCACATCAGGGTGCATCCACACATTATTAAAGGTCAAAGGGCTTTAAAGCAGTGCAATCATTTTGAAATTTTTATCATTTACTTATTATGCTTCATTAAGTACTTATACAAAATTTTATTAAAATAAAACCATTTAAACCGGGTGTTCGGATTTATATGTCACTTAGTATATCTAACACATTCTAGTAGCATACTTATATGTTTATATGAAAAGTTTTGAACTGTTGCATAAACGTTTATACAACTATTTTATACGGCATATTAGCTCGGTAGTCAAAATAGTTGTATTGTTGCATCCGCGGTTATAAATACAATAAACCCGACCCTTGTAGGTTTGGTATGTAAATTACTGCTTTACCCAACAAGTTGCTCCCAACTGGAAGCATTTATACAACTGTCGTCTAGTTAAGGGCTATACTTCTACAACAATATCACAACCTTTAAAGCACAAAATTGCTGTGCTGCTTAATATATAGATACAACGTATGTCTTAAAGGTTTTGGCACAAAATTCATTGGCTGTAATTTTAACAAACACAAAATTATATCAAACTTACCACAGGCTCGCCCAACAGAGGGTTTTTGGGCTGTACTTTCTAGGAAGGTTTATCATGGAGGCTGGGAAGCCCAATATGAAGAACAATTAAGACGGCGAATTTACAAAAAACTGATAGAAATTGATCTAAATTCCATCCAGGACCTCATGAGAGACATTTCAAGAAAGTTACAACTGGTAGAGCAGAATGGGCCACTCCACATAATTCACATAGTATAGTTTAGAGTTAAGGATTGAGTGGTAAATTATGATAGTGTTTAAATAAAGTTCTTCGTTAAAAAAAAATCCTATAAGTATTTTGTGTCAAAACTTTTAGGACATACGTTACAAGCTCCTAATGTCATATTTTTAGGTTGAATGCCATAACCAATATTTTTGTTCCTCAAGGCAAGTTACGCATGAATATTCCTTTGAAAGCCTTTTCAAACAGAAGGTATGGATCTGGTACAAAATCTGAGTAAAGCATTCGATTCTGTCCATATTTCAATTCAGGGATTTGCCCAATTGCTTTATAAGACCAACTCTTCTAATAAACCAAAGACAATATGAAAGGTGCCATCATTATACGAAACCATCCGCCACATTGGGCAAGTTATATATTCCTGTATTAAAAATCAAAAAATTCTGTTTCAGTCCGGCATCACAAATAGAAAATGATAAACATTAGTGTAATTGTGTCCAAATATAGGCTTTGTGGAAAATTTAACGCTAAAAAATCAAAATATGTGTTTTTATCATTATTAAAGTATGAACCAAATATAATGAAGCCCATAAAAATGGGGCACAACTTTCTACGATAATTACAATAAAACTTGCTGCACAAGTTATTCAATATCACAGTGTAGAAGCTTCTCATATACATGTGTATGAAATGCTCAATGGCCGATATGTCAGTAAGCAAGATGAATGTGACGTGTTAGTTCGAAAATATTCTTCACTTCGCCTATTCAATACTCGTACGTAAGCAACAGGTTTGTCGCGATTATGTACAATTATATAACAACGTTTAATAGTTGACAAAAACTGAACCTTGCACTGATGCAAAGGTTCTTTAGCGGCTGCAAGGGTTTCTACACTTTTGTTGTATAACTGTTGCCTGCAGCCCTTAAGCAACATCTTAATTGACTAAAATGTCCTATTATACGTAGGTGTGCCCATTCAGTATGTATAACTGTTCTAAGAACGTTTTGCTAAAGCTCTTGCATCATACAATGCTGTGTAAGGAATAATACTGTATAAACTTCTCTTTCAACCCTAATAGGGGTGATGGTACCTGGAGCCATTGATGGTTTGTACAACAATAGAATGTTCAATGTTGTGTGTTCGTGTCCCACCGGCGGTGAGCTTATCATTTTGTCATCTTTAACGTAGTTTCAGCCTTGTTTACAAATAGTATGTAGACCAATAAAATAGCATATAGTGGCTAGGTTAACGTATGCACGTAAGTTTCCCGCGTTTCCCTGCAGCAACCTCATAAATCCGGTCATCCAGTTGGCACTCGACGAGACGTGGAGTGTGTGTCGCACAAGCGATTGCGGCGAGTATTGCGGATAACAGTAAATAAAAGGCTAACAAAAAAAACAGGATGGCAAAGGAGAAAAAGGGAGAAGTAAAGACTTACGGTGTACAGGCAAATGAGACGACTGCTTCTCTCTCCACGCCTAATTAAATTCTGCCGGATCGGCATGCGGCATGCCGGCAGATGCCGTTTTGCCGCTCTGCTA